GCCCGCGGGCCGTAGTTTGGGGACCCCTGAGCTAGATGATCTCTAAACCAAATATTGCTCTGGGTTTTATTTGGTAGTGTCAGAAAAATGGGGGCTAAATATAAATACATGCCAAAATCCACTTCACAATTATGCACTACTTCTCACTCAGTTACATAAATCCTTTTAAAATTCATTGACATTTGTGGTTATTATTTGATAAAAAATATTTTCACTACTTCATGGAAGAATACTTGGACTTATAGTTACTTATTATCTCAAGTAAACAATGAGCATACAATGCTGCAGAAATGTCTCATTTATTTATATGCTTCTTTCTTTGCAATATTTTTGACGTGATCCATAGTTCCAGAGGATTTTCCTTAAAGTTTATTTATTTTATTTAACTGGACTGAATTCTCTCAAACACAAAACATTTTTACTTTTTTCATGTAATTTTCATTAAATTTGGATAAAAACTCACTGAGATTGAAATGGATCAAATTTAGAGTGTACTGAAGTTTTTGAGAACGGATCACAGTAGGTTTGAGATCATAGGTTTAAAAATACTAATGTTCTAATTTTTGATCCACTATATTATTGTTTTTTTATGCCAAGTTATTCTGAAAAATCCACAGATCATCGCCAAATTGTTTCTGGATTGTTGCTGCAGAGAAATTCTGATCTTTAGGTTTAGAAGCAGCTCCATGATCAGAAAGAAAATTCATCATATGATATCATTTCCAATTTTTTAATTTCTTGTAAAATTTCAGTCAGTTTTTTATGTTTCTTCTTGATCAAATTACACTATTGCTATCCCAGTTTGCTGCCAGTTTAAATAAGCTCTGCTCTGGTGGCAACATGATGCTTTAGGTCACTTTGAAGGTGACATCTCGGAGGTTACTGCGACCTCTTAACTTGAAGGTCTTGATGATTAATTGTCTTGATTTCATTTGGTGGTGAACATTGCTACCAGAGGGAGAAAATTATTTCAAACACATCAGCTTGTCTTTTAGGCTGTTCTGGTGATTTCAGATGAACTTGTTCACGGTTTTCCCTCTGCTTCATTCAGGTTTAAAATGAGTTTTGTTAGAAGGTGAACTGAGAGCTAATAAAATGTTTTACATTTATTTGATCTGGATCTAAAATAGATGTGGAAATGTCACCAATACTAACTCCAAAGATTAAAACCACAACACTGGTGTCACTGGCCAACATGCAGAACCACACATTGATTTTATGTGAATATTTGAGGCTGTATATAAACTGAGCTTTTTCTGCATATTTTTGAGATTTCTCCTTTCAACTCCAAGTGACATTCTTGAAATGTTTTCTTCGTTCTGTCACTGCAGAACAACAGCTTTTTTCCCCTCCCTGCCACGTTGCTACACCAGTTAATTTCTCATATCAGCATCACAGCTGTCAGTGGCTGTAAAAGAAAATTATCGTATGCAGTTGGTGTGCGTTGTCCGCTGCGTGAACACGGCTTTGATTTCTTTTCACTCGTCTCCGTCCTGCAGCTGTCTGACACGCCGAGGCAGGACCGCTGTCACAATCTCCTCAACGCTCTCAACTCTCACAAGGACAGGTGAGTCGTTGCGTTTAAGGAGAAGAATAAACACCAGCCGCACATGACCAGAGTGATGAGGAGACGGGCTGCAGCGAAACGTGTGACTTTGAATAAAGAGGCAGGGAAATGAATCTGACAGACTTACAGAGATTATTTTGATTTGTAAGCAGCACAGAATGCTGCTAACCTCTATTAAATTATCAGAACTAAAGAAATGTAACTGCTTCAAGTAGATTTTTGTTGAATGTTGTTTAAAAATAACCTTGCAGCCAAATAAAACAGCATATTTCTCCAGGCGAAGTCTCTTCTAATTATGTGCATGTTAATTACAGAGTCACTACCTTTGAAGTGTTCCCACGTCTTGCTTCTCATCAGGAGCTGAAGAACATTGTGTTAGAAAGCTTTACTGTGCCTTGCAACTGTTCATCCCCATTTTCAGCTGCATTCCCACATTTTGTCATGTTCCAGCCAAAATTATTGGGATTTTATTTGAGAGAGACTCAAAAACTGTCGTATCATATCAAAGTGGTAAGAAAAGCATTTGTCCTAAGCTCCTGTTGCTCCGATTTGCTTAGATAAAATGCTTAAATTTTATCAGTTTGGTACAACTGCAAACCAGAGCCATGAGGGCCGTGGTGTATCTGGAGGAGCTGCAAAGATCAGCAGCTCAGGTGGGCGAATCTATTAGGCTACACAGCAAACGAATGCGACCCAAATCAGATTATGTTTGGCTTCGATGCTTATGAAGATGTTATGTTTATCCTTTTGTTAAAGAGTTACATTTCTCCATCACTTCACAACTGTGCTGTATTTTGTGTTTGTCCATTACATAAAATACCAATTAACAAACATTGTATTTGTGGTTGCAACATGACAAAATGAGAAAAACAAAGTGAAGCATGATTACTGTTGCAATGCATTGTGAATTCATTATGATGAAAAGAACAGAAATGTGACTTCTGCTCCTCTGCGCCACACAGGTTTGTCTCTGGAAAGGAGATCAAGAAGAAGAAGTGTCTGTTTGGGCTGCAGGTCCGAGCTCCGCCTCCTCTGACGTCTGATTCGTCGCCTCTAGTCACTGATCCGCCTATCAGCATCACCCACAGGAGAAGGTCAGATTGAGAAGAGCAGGTTTCTTTTTGCTGCTTCTCTTCTTTCAGCTGAAACTTTGGAAATCTCACATATTAAACGTAAACAATCAGTCAGAATCCCATTGATTTCCAAAAAATGTGTGAAACTTTGTCACTATTTTCCTTTCATAATCATTCTAAGTCATTCTTTAGTTTTAGCTGCCCTAAAACTCTGTCCTACACCACTGTAATAAATTACACATGAAGAAATTATGCTGGTGTTTTTTCTTGTTTACTAATTTATGTTTTTCTTGTCCTCAGCCCGTTGTCACTGCCCTGCCAGAGGAGAGTGGGGGGGTCGGAGTCACGCAAATCAAAGCGTCGCATCATGGAGACACAGGTCAGCGCCTCTGTCTCAGGATAAGGGAGGATGCAGGGGGGTGTGGGACACCAAACTCGTTGATATTTTGTTCCTTTTTCTTTTTTCTCTCTTTGCTGCAGTCAGATAAACAGCTCTCTGCAACTCAAATAACCTGTCAGTCAGACGACGCCACGAAGGTTCATTTCACCGTGGAGATCAGTTTTTACTCCTCTCCTCAGTTCAGTGCCTCTGTTGCGGTTCACTTTTTTTTCCCTGCAGGATGCTAATGTTTGAGGGTACACAGATAGATTAATAATAGCTGTGAGAGACGTGGCGTTGCTCCGGTAAAATGTATAATTCAAATCCAATCTTGCCAAAACCTGCTCTTGTATTTCATCAACACCTGCAGTTCAGCGTCGCGTTTATCATTATCATCAAAGCCAATTCCCGGCGGATCGCTCTGAAACAAGCACCATCACATGTGGTGGTTGCTATTTATACTCTGCATTCTTAACCGTGAATGCTCCTTGTGCTTTTTTCCTCCTACTCATCACTCTGATCTGAGTATGTGCACATACTGTAATCCTGGAACAATACGCTCTGCAGAGCTCTCATTTTTTTTCTCGCGTCTTCTTCTTTTTTTTTCCTCTGGCATATCCAGGCCTCATTGTTCTGCTCTGACTGATGCTAATCTCCGCCCGTCTTTGAGGAGCAGCTCTTGGTTGTAGTGAGGAAAGTGAGATGGGTAGGAATGCTGATGGCCTGGGATCACTTCCAAACGCACTTTGCAGTCAATTACAGTTTGGCCAGGTGGCGCTGGCACCTTGACAGTGCAACTCTGACAGAGCACCAGCGTTTAAAGGCACAGACGTTCGCTGGAGGCTCTGAGTAATAGTCCTCCGTCATTAGACTCATGCTACAGAATAATAATGGGCTCAGCGTGGTGCTATGTCACAGTCCAGCGATGAGAAATCGACCTCATGCATGATGTTTCCTGTGACTGATGGCTCTATCTGATGATCCTGATGCTTGTACTTGTTATGAGTCGTTGGGAGACAGAGAGCTGCCTTACTAACCAGTAACTCTGCCACATGATGGGACGGAAAGGAAACAGATCTGTCAACCCTTTTGGCTCCAACTTCTACAAAATATAAAAAGGATCCAGGATTTTTATCCACACAATTTTGATAATATACCATGGACTTAAAGATAAAATTACTCTACTGTAGTGTACCTTGTGAAAAGTAATTATAATCCATTAGCGTTTTCACATTTTGTCATGTCACAACTACAAACTTCATCGTTTCTTATATTTAAGGGTATTTTCACACCTTGTAGTCCAGAAGACTTGGTTTGATTGGTTCCGTTTCACGCTGCACTGTGTGGAAACAACTGGAAAAATGCTGAAGGAAACAACTCCAAAAACCTCTGAAGAAGACTTGAACGCAACTTCCCTCTTTGCGAAACTTGGCTAAAAATGGTGGAGTGGCATCAGATTCTAGCAGTTGTAGGATTTCTCTTTTGTTGTTAGTAAAAGACCATGAGCCATTTTTTGTTTGGTTTGGTTGTATTTACCCAGAATGCCCTGCGCTAGAGTTCACTTCCTGTTTCTGGAGTGTTCTCTGGCCCACTTTGTGTTCACATATGCATTTGAACTGCCCCAGTTTACTTAAAGACTAGATC